AAACAGGAAGAGTTTCACAGCTGCGTTTCAACATTTACCTAATTAGGGTCATATCTTCTTCCCCTGAAATTACGATTACAGGTTATGTAATTTAACCCCTTTCAGATGATATCATTTCAGATATGGCTCCCAGTGTCTGATCACTGCTGTTATCAAGTGATGTGGAGGTTCACTTGCAGAGGAAAACTCCTCTTATGTGCTGCTAGGCAACTACTGTTGCTATACCAACTGGAATTATGACCTAGGAGTTACTTCATGGGACTGTTGCCATTACACTGGAGCAGATTACTTGCCCTCACTGATCTTCCCTTAGAAATGGTTTAACAGTTATTAGGATTACATCTTCAGCCCCACAAGTCCTCTCTCAAGAAATAGTCAGATTGCAGTGTTGACATTACAACTCCTGCAGACTCCCCATTACTGATCAAACATTCTCCCCAGCTATCTACTTAGAGATTAGTTCTAAGTGCATGGTACTTCTAAGGATGGCCCAACCTATTCAGTGGTATGACTTCATTTCTCACCAATCTTCCTTTTATTTCTGAGAGACTGGGATTTCAAACTCTCTGTTAAAGTGAAAAAAAAATCCCATTCACCCAAAATAAAATTCCGATTCAGAACTGAAAGAGTAGAGGCTGTACTGGATACGGGGCTCCTTAGCCATGCTGCTTCCTGACTCCACCTCCCCGTGCCACCCACTAATTTAACCTGACCCTTCCTCTTAAAATGGAGGAATCAGCCAGCTCAAACGAAGAGCATAAAATAAGTAAGGTTTGTGGAGCTGGCACTAGAAGGGAAGTTCTCCTGAGATCTAGCCAAAGCCTCCAGGAGACCCTACAGGAAGAGATTAGTGAAGAACTACAGGTCCACATCCGACCATGTCTATATGATAAACAAGTTGCCGGTATAAAGCAATCCAGATGATCTATGTACAATTCTGTTTAAAAGGAAATGTTTTCTGCATTAACTATGTAAATTCTTTTAGGATATATGAAGCATGGAAACCATCATCAGAGAAGTATTAGCTGGACTTGGGGAGACCAAAGCCGTTGCAGTAAGATCCAGCTTGCTTTACGCATATTGGTCTCCTTGTCTTCATTCCAATAGTGTGTTGCTCATTGGGACCCTAAGTTCACATCTACTGCTTTCTTCTTTATACCCCCCAGACCTCCTTACATGGCCAAAGTCAGTAATCCAATGCAGCAAGCTCACCTGCCTAGCTTTTTCCCACTGGACTAAATAATAGCAGGACGCCTTCCAGAATCTCAGTTCTATGAATTGACGTCATCCAGAGCAGGGTCTTTGTGGAAAGGCAACCAATCTACTGACTCCCATCAAATTGTGGAGCAACAATAAAAGACAGAGCACAGCTACCCAGGACATTTTGCTTTCTCTTATTCACTTAAACCACAGTCAGATTATTATGGAATGAAGGAAAGCGCTTTATACCTAAAAAGACCAGGGCTCTGTTACCAATCAGCTAAATTTGATTCACTTAGCAGAGTGAAGTGGCAACAGACCATCAAATTGCTTTGTTAGAATATAGGGAAATACTGAAAACAAAATGAAAATGAAAAAGAAAATGTAGAAAACTGTTGAGATATTATACTCACGTTATGCAAATGTCAATTATATATAAACATAATACATCAATACCAGAAACATTAATAGTATTTTATTTGACAATTTTTATTGAGCACCTAGTTTATGCAAGGTACTCCCCAAGACTGAAACATACATCACAGCTCCCCTGTCAAAAGGATGAATGGTGATCATTGTCTGTGTGTTAGGGACAAAGTCCACAGAAACCAAAAGGCACTTTATGCTTCAGGAGGAGGGAAGGCACAGTTTATTTATGTATGCAGGCTTGACTAGACTAAAAGTCAAGCCCCAATCCTTTGCCTTTCCATACTTTTTTTTTTTTTGGACAGGCAGAGTGGATAGTGAGAGAGAGAGACAGAGAGAAAGGTCTTCCTTTTGCCATTGGTTCGCGCTCCAATGGCCACCATGGCTGGCGCGCTGCGACCGGAACACCGCGTTGATCTGATGACAGGAGCCAGGTACTTATCCTGGTCTCCCATGGGGTGCAGGGCCCAAGCACTTGGGCCATCCTCCACTGCCTTCCCAGGCCACAGCAGAGAGCTGGCCTGGAAGAGGGGCAACCGGGAAAGAATCCGGCGCCCTGACCGGGACTAGAACCCAGTGTGCCGGCGCCACTAGGTGGAAGATTAGCCTATTGAGCCGCAGCACCAGCCGTCTTTCCATACTCTTATACCCTGAATATACCAAGGCAGTTTCCAGGAGCACACTGTTATCTTGGGCCCTCAGGGATTAACAAATCACAACTTTAAGGTAAGATTGTTTTAAGATACAGGAATTATAACTTAAAGGCATTTTCAGAAGGCATGCAACTATCTTATCTTAGGAATGGGACTAGCCTTTATGGCCTAGTCATTATTGCTTTTTTTAGACCCACCTGACCCTTTGATAACAAGGGGGAAGGAGTCTTTAATATCCCCTCCTCTTCTTTAGGGCACTTTTAGAATACTCTAAAATCTTCATCTTCTAGGGGCTGGTCCCATAAGTGGCCAGTACTACATAAAGAGTAGTTGGAGCTTGACTTTGGCAATTGGAGATTTCATAAAACAGCATTGTGTATGCAGGGGCCAGCCACAGCTATCAATAACAGGAGAACCAGGTACCCAACACTGAAACCTGCCCGAGGCCTTAACAACCCAGGATTCGCAACCTCAACCAGATGTGCAGTATTGGGTGCACTTCTTGGGCTAATTTGGCTAAGTTGGAAAGAGCTTTAAACCTGGAAAGACTAGGGCTCTGTCCTGAGTGTGTTTCCAATCAATTAAATGGCATTCTTTAAGGCAAGTGATGTTAGTAAAATTGGTTTCTCATGGTAGAGGGAAATTTTGAATAGAAAATTTTAAATAAAAATAATAGTTATAGGTAGTTCCTATATTATACTCCAGTGTTTTGAAACCACTGACTCTTAAACTAAGATTGTTTATATACATATGTAAGAGATGTTTTCTTTCTTTTTTTTTTTTTTGATAGGCAGAGTGGACAGTGAGAGACAGAGAGAAAGGTCTTCCTTTGCCGTTGGTTCACCCTCCAATGGCCGCCATGGCCGGTGCTCTGCGGCCAGCGCATCCCGCTGATCCGAAGCCAGGAGCCAAGTGCTTTTCCTGATCTCCCATGCGGGTGCAGGGCCCAAGTGCTTGGGCCATCCTTCACTGCACTCCCTGGCCACAGCAGAGAGCTGGCCTGGAAGAGGGGCAACCGGGACAGAATCCGGCGCCCCGACTGGGACTAGAACCCGGTGTGCCGGTGCAGCAAGGCGGAGGATTAGCCTAGTGAGCCGCGGCACCGGCCGAGATGTTTTACTGATTAGAAATATTACACATTTTATCTTACAACCTTTGTTGAATACCTATACATGTCATGACAAATATTTCTGAAAGTTCCCAGGATACAAGCACAAAGTAAACATATAACAAAGCTCCTAGCCTCAAGAGGGTGAAAGGTAATCATTGTCTTTGGATGATATTTTGAAAATTGTCTGTACCTTGCCTAATATATTTAATTTTTTAAAAATATTTGAGGTACACTAATTTCATTATTTCCTATATATGGATTCAGGAACGTAGTGATACTTCCCACTCTGTCCTCTCTCCCACCCATGTTCCCACCCATCCTCCTCCTACCTCTCCTGTTCCCATTGTTAATTTTTTAAATGTCTATTTTCAGTTAACTTTATACTCATAAGTTTCAACTTACACTAAGTAATATGTTCAACAAATAGTATGAAGAAAAAACACTGTTTCTCAACAGTTGCGACAAGGGCTGTTAAATATCAAGAGCACATAAACAAGACTAGTGTCTGCAAATACTAATGATGCCATAAACAAAAGTGTCAATTTGTTAAGTCAACAACAGGAGTCACTGTGCACTTACTCCTCATGTAGGCTCTCTGTCCTTAATGTGCTGTACATTGAGATTTAATGCTATAACTAGTACTCAAACAGTATTTTTCACTTTATGTTTCGGTGTGGGAGCAAACTGTTGAAATCTTTACTTAATGTATGCTCAACTGATCTTCTGTATATAAAGAGAATCGAAAATGAATCTTGATGTGAATGGAAGGGGAGAGGGAGTGGGAAAGGGGAGGGTTGTGGGTGGCAGGGACGTTATGGAGGGAAGCCATTGTAATCCATAAGCTATACTTTGGAAATTTATATTCATTAAATAAAAGTTAAAAAAATCATCAAATCTCAAAACATCAATTTCCTAGAGATTACCCACTAGGTACACTATTAGTTACTACCCATCAGGGAAAACATATGATAGCCTTTGTTTTTGGACTGGCTTATTTCACTAAGTATAATGGATTCAGTTGCATCCATTTTGTTGCAAATGACAGGATTTTTTTACTGCTATGTGGTGTATTCTATGGTGTATATATGTGTATATACATATATATGTATATATGTACATATATATACCATCATTTCTTTATGCAGTATGCTTGCATTTTTAAAATAAAAACAAAAATGGCTAAACATGAAAATGAGTTTTCAAAGTGTGAAAGTGAGTTTTAAACGGTGTGTTGAAACAGTAATTCTGTGACATTTCCAAGATGGTGAATTAGGGAGGGAGATTACTATTCTAGCCCAGGAGAAGATAGTTTAAAAAAAAGTGGAGAAAATGTAGTCTCAGGGAAGAGTTAGGTGAAAATGGCAGAGGAAACTGTACTGAAATTAGAGGTACACGGTGGACTTATGTGGAGGGTGTGGGTGCTCACAGCTTGGACCTTCAGAAGCTGAGAGTGTATGCACAAGCAGTGGAAACTGAGGTGAGACCAGACTTCAGCATCCCAAGCCACTGGTGAAAAAGTGGCAGGAAGTGCCTAGAGGGAGCCCAGCTTGGAGTCCTGTGGGGGAAAGTGTACCAGCCAAACTAGAGGAGGAAAAAAAAAGGATGGGATGGACATATTTCTTTCTCCTGGATCACTTTACAATGGTGTCCTGTAACAAGCCGATAGAGAGGGTGCCATTTTGAACATATGTAATAGCTGCGCCAGCTCATGTCTGCAACCAGCAACAAGCCAAGCGGAGACTTCTGACTCTGGTGGAGTGAACTAACAGGGAACCTGGAGCTTGTGACTGTGTGAGGCTTCAGTAACAGGATTGTG